TGGAGGCTGGCGCTGAAGGTTCCAGGGGCGCTCGTGACGGATGCGAAGTCGCTCTACGATCACACGTCCAAGATCGGGTCGATGCCGGTGTCTCGGCAGACCCTCATTGACTTGCTGGTGGCCAAGGATTTGATAGAGCAGGAGGCCATCAAGTTCAAGTGGCTGCCTAATAGCCACATGCTAGCGGATGTGTTGACAAAAGCCGTGCAGCCTAACGAGGTACTATCGCAGTTCCTCCGCCACGGCCTGTTCAGCATGGTGCCTACTGCTGAGCAAGAGGATGAGGAGGCACACCGTCTGCGGCTGCGCCGCGGACAGCGTGAGCGAGCCAAGGAGCGGAAGGCCCAGCGTCGGGTCGCCGTTCCAGGGCCTGCGAGCCCGTGAGGTCCTGATTGCAGCTGCTGATGGACCTAGTGAGGGCTACGGTGATGTATGCATATCCTTTGAGTTGATCGTCTGGAGTAGTGTATCCAGATATTCATATTCTTGTATTTATATTTTGAGCCTCAGGCCGCACCTTGCTTGAGGTGTCTCATGCATATATTTTGAGTTGACAGTCTGGATTGGTGAATCTAGACATTCATATTTATATTTCGAGCCTCAGGCCGCATCTGCTTGAGGTGTTTCGGCCCGTGGGCTGATATGCATTATAATTGCGTGCAGCGTTGCCCTTTCAGAGGGGGCGGCATCGGGGCAGCATTGTACTCACCCAGTGTGAAGAGTGCACTCCCCTGCCCCTCTGCCGCCCGTGCCACCATGTGTGTATGTTGTACACGCTTGTCTTGTTTTGTGGCATGCACGCTGCCCGCCGCTGTTTTGGCCCTCGTCCTAGGGCCCTGGGACGCACCCGCAGTTGGACTGCCGCGCGGTCTTTGCTGAAAACAACTGCACTGACACGCTTACCCCCGCACTAGCCGCAGACAGAGCAACGGCTCCTCGCGACTCTCTTCCCTGGAGCCCGGGGCTGGGCCACCCCAGGTCGCCTGCAGCACTTCCAGAGCTTGGGATTCGCTTCTGAGCTCCCCAGTGCGGAGGCCCTGGCGCAGGGGGGCCAAATGCCTTGTCTCCCGCTGGGAAAACAGTACCAATGGCGGCCTGCGTATTATCTGTCGTGCTCGGCGTCTTCAACGTGCCCGTTCCTCCTCGGACCACTTGCAGCGCACTTCCACCTGGGCCCGCTGGTTCGACGGCAATTTCATCAGCGCGGTCCTCGAGTCGCAGCGCCGGCTCGAAACGTTGGCGACGACCCAGGGGCTCTCCGTGGACGTGCTGCTGCAAGGCACGTCCACTTCCCCCAGTCCGAAGCAGCGATGGCAACGCCGATGCGGATAATTGCTATGCGCTCGTGACACGCAGGGTCTATTCCGACACCTGCGCCACAGACTGGACCGGTTGCCCTTGCTCATTCTGCTGGGGCGCCAGTTGCAACGCTTCGAAGCTGCACTCCGCCGCCTTGGGCCAGTGGTGCCGCCCTGTGTGTGGTCAGCTGTGCTCAAAGCACTCGTCTGCGTCGCCGTGCTTCTTCGGCTGTCAACATGGGCATTGCGACCTCTGACGCTACGCCTGCTGCCCCGTCGCGACGCGGCTCTACCGTGCACGCCTGTGCCTCCAGAGGGGTGCCCCTGCATCGAGGTTGGGCGAGTTCCTACTGTTGGACGGGGCGCCGCCGCGCACGTTTGCCCTCCGTGCATTCGGTTTGCGCGCGACTTTCAGAGCCAACAGCGCAGCTCGACACGGGCAGGCCTCCGCCGCGGGCGTTTGGCCGCAGGCGATGGCAGACGGCGCGGCCCCCTGCGCCCCTCTGACCGAGCACGTCGCCAACTTGGCCCGCAGCAGCGACTGAGGCTGTCTCGAGATGGCGCCGGCTGAATCGCCCATCCCGGCATTGTCCGTGCGACTTGTGCTCCATAACATTTTGTTCGATGCGTTTCTGTCCTGCATGTTGGAACCTTGCCCTTCGCCTGAGCTTGGGAGGACACTTTTCGGATGCACTAGGTCGCAAATTATTGCGCGGCGCCTGGGCTTGGGAGGACACTCTTCGGAGGCATTAGGTCGCAAAATAATGCGCGGCGCCTGAGCTTGGGAGGACACTTCTCGGAGGCATTAGGTCGCAAGATAGGCAGTTGCGCGACTAAGTTTACGCATCCAATATGTTGCATGGCAGCATAGAGCCAGCATTGTTGCCGTCTGAGCTCGAGAGGCCTCTCGGCTGACCACAACAGTTGTGGTGCAATGTACTCCTTCGCCACTTTTGTCTCCCCGAGCCTGGGGGCCATTGTAGTTTTTTCCTCTCTCTTGTGCTGGTGGCCTCGCACGCGCGGTATCCTCGACAGTTCCCGGCGTTCGCCGGACAACCATAAGGGTTGCGATTTGCTCCTTCTCCTCTGCCCCTTTCCCCTTTTTCCCCTCCTTTTCACCCCTCTCCTCCCCCTCCATCTGTGCTTCGCTTCCTTTGGCTTGTTCGCCTTCTCGTTTTCTGATGAGTGGCCACTGTGTGTGCGGCCACTTTAGGAGTGCCCAGACTCACGGGAGTCGTTTGGCGCTGGCCTGTGGTTTGCTCAGTGTTTCCCGCTTTCCTCCTCCTCCTCCTCCTCCTCCTCCTCCTCTTCGTCTTCGCCACTCTTTATCAGGTCTTGGTGACATTCGGGTGGCCGCGTTGCACGGTATCAGCTGCGACCGTTTGGATTGCCATTGGGTTTCCCCCATCGCGGCGCGAACCATTTTAACGCATTTGAGCTGTGCGCGTGTGTGGTTTGGTGTGGGTGCCGATATTGTGATCGCCCTCCTGACGGGCAGCGGATTTCTTGTTTTGCGTATCTTGGGTTCTTCCCAAACTGAAGGTTCCGATCACCATGAGTGGCCAGGGATGCCAGCGTGGCTCCTGGAATATTTGGACACATGGGATGAGAAGTACGGCGGCCCAAGGATTTCGAACAGGCATGGCAGCTGACACTGATCATCCGTAAGTCCACATTCCCGGCATTTCAAGGATTACCTCATTTGATGTGCCACGGCCCCGCCTTCGTCGCATTCATGGGGCGTTCCCGCGGCCCCGCGCGGAGCGGTATCCGCGGTTGTTTCCTCCTCTCGTCCTCCTTCGCCCCTTTCCCTCCTTTCCTCCTCAGTTTTCACCTTTTGCCTCAGGGTTCACGTCCCATAGGGATCCCCTCCCAGAGGAGGCCCGAGCTGTCCAGCTTGTGGCTTGTGTGCGAAATTTTCTGGCGTGGCTGCAGGCGTATGTTCAGCCATCACGCGACGTACATTGGAGCGCAGCAGGATTGTAAATTACCGGAGCGCGAAGCACTTGAGCGTGACAATCTGTGGTTACTAGCAGGATTTTAAAGCACCCGAGCGTAAAGCGTGATGGAGTGCAGCAGGAAAGTAAATCAACCGAAAGTGAAGCACCCAACGCGTGAAACACAGTGGGATGCACTGGCTGCACGGCACCCGGGCGTGGATCACTGGACCGTGACTCCGCAATACGCTTGCGTCAAGGCTCGAACGGCCGAGTGGCGGCCGCTTGATACCCGCCATTGCGCCGATCACCCCTCATCGTCGGCATGCTGAGTTTTTGGGTGTTTCGCTCCGCCGCTCTCGATTTCCAGAGGCCCCCACTGGAGCGAGCCCCCAGGGGGACTCGTTGCCTCCGCCCTCTCTGATCCCCCTCCCCTCAGCTCTCCCTCCCCTCCCTCCCGCAGGAAGGGATCCTTCCCCTCCCGCCTCTCATCCCCTCCCGCTCTGCCCCAATCTTCGGGATGATGAGCGGATTTCGAGGAGGATGAGGATGGTGATGACGATGTCGATGGTGATGATGATGATGATGATGATGATGATGATGATGATGATGATGCTGATGCTGATGCTGATGCTGATGCTGATGCTGATGATGCTGATGCTGATGCTGATACTGATTCTGATGATGATGATGGTGATGATGATGATGATGATGATGATGATGATGCTGATGCTGATGCTGATGCTGATGCTGATGATGCTGATGCTGATACTGATGCTGATGATGATGATGATGATGATGATGATGATGATGATGATGATCCTGATGAGGATGATGATGGGGATGATGATGGGGATGATAATGGTGATGATGATGCTGATGCTGATGCTGATGCTGATGCTGATGCTGATGCTGCTGATGATGATGATGATGCTGATGATGATGATGATGCTGATGATGATGATGATGCTGATGATGATGATGATGATAATGATGATGATGATGATGATGATGATGATGATGATGATGATGATGATTATGATGATGATGATGATGATGATGATGATGATGATGATGATGATGATGATGATGATGATGATGATGATGATGATGATGATGATGATGATGATGATGATGATGATGATGATGATGATGATGATGATGATGATGATGATGATGATGATGATGATGATGATGATGATGATGATGATGATGATGCTGATGCAGGAGGAAGGACAATATTCGTGGGCGCAGTGGGAAAACATCCAGAGTATCCACCACCAGGGCTCCACAAACCCATCGGCTCGCGTCCGGGGTGGGGGAGGCATTTCAACAATGCAATGACCTGGGCCCAGAAACTACTTGCGAGGCCTGGTGGTGGTGATGGACACTTTTTCTCTCGGGACAGGCGGAATCGAGGACGCCAATTATCCATGTCCATCCATCTTGGCCAGGCCCAGGGTCGGCGTATACACCTTTCCTGGCAAGTGGCCGTCGTATTCAGTGATGCGGGCTGAGGTGGGTGTTTCTGACAGCCCCGGCGATCCCCCCTTTCGCTCGCGACTGTCCTGTGAGGCCGCTTGTGTCCGACGGCGCGCCGCAAGGCGGCCGAGCGTCTGTGCGTCATATCGCTCGTGGCGCACGGGGATGGGAGGAAGGTGGGGGTGCGGGACGGGTAACGGGCGAGACAGGGGACGGGCGCGCGTCGGTGGCGGCGGAGCGTTTTGCCCCAACGCCAGCCGCCCCCCCCTCCCCTGCCGCGCAGCCCGCCATCCCGAGCCGCGACGCCGGCGGCTGCGGCGGCTGCGGCGTCCCAGTGTCCAGCATGCCGCCGATGCGGCCGCCGGGGGGCAGCTCGCTGGCAACCTACGACAGGCGCGGCCGGGGCTCTTGCCGAGAGGGGCTGATCCGCCGCCGCTCTGTGGGCTGGGCTGGCCAGGGGGGAAGGAGGGGGGGGGGAAGGGGGGGGGGCGTGATCGACTAGGCTGGAGGTGGAGGGACGAGACAGTGGGTGGGGGAGAAATGGGGAGGGATCGGGGCTGAGGGAGGAGCGAGTGCAGGGACGGAGGGATGGATGGGTGGATGGCGTGGAGGGAAGGTGCAATGGAGGGAAGGGTGGTTGCATGGATTGGGGGGGAGGGAGGGAGGGAGAGGGAGGGAGGGAATGAGGGTGGCATTGAGGAACCGAACGAGAGCGCACGCAAGGATGGGCGGAAGGAGGGAGAGGGGGTATTGGTGTCTTCTTGAAAGACAGCCGCTCTGCGAGCTTTGATTATCGGCGGTGTTGTCGCCTTGACCGCCTCACCGTGGTACGAACCGTTGCCTGACACCGAACTGAGACTTGATTTATCCTCTTCCTTCGCGTCTGTTGCGAAGCTTCTTGGGGGCCTGTGGAGGCCTCGCGGCCGGCCTCGTGGGAGCCTCCTCTTTCCCGGGGGAGGTCTCAGGGTTCTTCGGGTTCATTGGTTTTGGCTTCTTGCTTGGGCTCCTCGGAGTTTCCCTGGGGTCCCTGGCAATGCCAAGCAATGCCACCCAATGACAAGCAATGCCAAGTAATGCCATGCATTGGCGGTCGCGATCAGCTTGCGCTGTGCACAGGCATGCTGTGGTGCTCGCGGGCCTATGTGATTCTCACAAGCAGATTGGGGCGCTGGCAGTCACACTGCGATGCTCGCAGGCATGTTGGGGTGTTCGCAGGTTTCTGCGGTACTCACAGGCTCGCTGTGTGCGCTCGCAGACCTATTGCGGCGATCGCCACTCATTGTGGCACTGGCAGGGGCCAGCATGCTGCTGCGCATACAGCTGGCAGTGTCGGAATGTTTTTTTCGTTTACAAGTAGCATTGTTCGCAAGCGCGCTGCGTTGCTCGTTGGCACGGTGTGGCGTTCGCAGGCGTTCGGGGTGCTCCATGGGCACGGTGTGGGCATGGTGTGTGGGGTGTTCAGTGTGCCCGATGTATTAATGGCAGGATCCAGCACGCTTTTGTGTATGCGTGTTCTTTGCTGCTTATGCTCGCAGACACACTGTTGTGCTCGTGCGCACGCTTGATTGCTCGCAGGCTTTCGTTGTGCTCAAAGGCATATAGTAAGGTTGGCTGGCTATTGTTGTACTGGCAGGGCCAGGCATTATGTTGTTGCTCGCAAGCGCGTTGTGGTGCTCGCGGGCTGTTGCGGTGCTCGCAGGCGCTGGTGGCTTCAGACGATCGCGGTACTGGCAAAGCCAGGCAAACGGTTGCGCATACGCGTGTTGACATTGTTCGCATGCATGATGTGGTTTTGGTAGGCACGTTGTGTTGCTAGCAGACTATTGTGCTGCTCACGGCCGCTGGTGGTCGCATAGCGCCCAGCCTTGCATGGAGTTCACCGTCCATGCCCGTGCCCCTCCCCCGCCCCGCCCTTCCCCGCCCGCCCCCTCCTGACAGAAGTTATTGGGGGGGGGGGCGGGGGCGGGGGAGAACCCATGTCCTCTCCCCGTTTTGGTTGGGGCACTAGCTTTAAATAGGTGGCCATATCACTTGTGTGGTCAGATCACTTAAGTCCTGCACTTTTTCGTGCACTCCGGTGACGTTGCCCCGTCCTACCGTTTTGCCGCCATTTGGATTCAACCCTCTTTCAAAGGCTCTTGAGCGTATGACTTCAACCTGTGGTCACCCTCTCCCAGTGGACCTGGTCCCGCCCCCTGGTGCCCCTCCCTCCCCTGGATATCCACCCTGGGTCCCCTCCCCGATCCTGCCCCTGGACTCCCCATGGATCCTCGCTCTGGGTCCTCCTCCCTGTGTGCCCCCTCCTGGCCCCCTCTGGCGGCACCAGCTGGCCCCTGGCGCTTGGGCCTTCGGCACCTTCCCCGTCGCCCAGACCACCCGCCTTCTCCTCACCAAAGTGGAGGTAGAGGAGGAGACGGAGGAGGAGGAGGAGGAGGAGGAGGAGGAGGAGGAGGAGGAGGAGGAGGAGGAGGAGGAGGAGGAGACGGAGGAGGAGGAGGAGGAGGGGGAGGATTGGATTGGATTGGATTGCATTGCATTGCATTGGTTTGGATTGGAAACTTCGTGAGACAAGGCTGGGCCTTCCAGCAACGAAGGTTAGAGGGAAGACCCGGCACCGCCCAGCGGCACGGGGCCCCCCACCAACCGACCTGCCAGGGGTCCTGGGGGAAAGGGGTCCTCAGGTTCCTCGCTCTCAGGCGGCCTCCTGGGGCCCTTCCTGGGCCCCTGGGGCCGTCAAACAATTCTTTGGGATGGACAGCTGGTCGAAAGGGAAACATCAGTGTCCAGGATCCGTTGCCCTCATCGTAGAAATTCTAGACGCTCCGCGTTTCCCCACCAGCAAGGGTAAAGGCGCCCTGGTTAAAGGCAAAGGCAAGGGGCAATGGGAGGACGGAGCCTCTCGTCGGGCAAGTCCAGGGGATTCCAGACGGGCCACGAGCTCCCACCAGCCCTGGGCGTACCCCTAGGAATCCTCCCACACACGCACACACCTGTCCTCTCGGGGCCCCATCCGCGACAGCGGGCGCTCGCCCTCCCCCAGGGCACGTTCCGGCTGCTCCGACGGAGGCGCCCGCCTCACGCTCCGCGGTCGCTGCCGACGGCCTTCCGGTGCCAAACGCCGTGCACCCAGCGAAAAAGCTGACCCTGACACTCCACGGATGGCCTTCCTATCACCGGGGCCAGCCCCAGGCCCCAGGCGGGGCCCCACGGCGCGCCATTTTGCCTTCGCGCCTCATGCCGCCTCGGGCACGCCTATCTGGGGTTGCTGGCTCGCCCCTGGCCCCCAGGAGACCCTTGCTCCTGGCCCCCCTTTGCGGCCTCTCGCCTCCTGGACGACTGCAGCCCCCCCTGGCCTGCCTTAGGCGCTGTCCCAAGGGCTTTGGTCCCCTCCTCCGCGGAGTGACCCGTACTGCTAGTAGTTCCTTTGCGGCGACATATTTGACCGCCCTGACTCAGCACATTGCACACTCACACTTCGCGACTGTTAGTCGCGCCCCCCTCCCCTGCCCACTGGTCACCTCCACACTACTCTGCGACTGTCAGTCGCTTCTCACCTCACCTGCCCATCGGGCTCGCTTCCAATCTACACTGCGACTGTCAGTCGCTCCCCACCGACTCCCCTCCCCTGCACTCCCCGCCCACGTCATCCATTCTACATTGCGACTGTCAGTCGCTCCCCACCAACTCCCTTTCCGGCACTTACTGCCTACGTGCAAGGCGGACACTTCACAGCTGCTTTACTCTGCGACGGTCAGTCGCTTCCCACCGACTCCCTGCCCCCCGCATCCTCTGCCATCGTTCCACCGCGGCTGTCAGTCGCCTCCCTCGGTCTCCCACCACCGACCACGCGGCTGTCTGCCGCCGTCTCCCTCCCCTAACGGCCTCGTGCCTGATACCGCCCCGCCAGCGCCCGGTGGGGGTGCTGGCCCTCCCCTGGCCCCCCTGCTTGCTCACACGGGCACCTCCGGCGCCTTGTCGCCCACCCCTGGCGCCCGCCCCCGCGTCGCCGCGGGTCCCCTCGGCCCCCCCCGTCGTCTCCTGCGCGAGACCACGGGGCCGGCTGGGGCTTGGTTGCCGGGGCTGCGCATGCTGCCCCCGCGTGCCCCGCACCCGCCGCGGGCACGCCTCGCAGCCACCCGCACCATTTTGCTGCCGCCAGTACCCCCCCCCCTGGGCATCGACGACACTCTGGGTCGTCGCAGCTGGCGCCGGCGGCACCGCTCTGGCGCGTGAGGCCTCTGGGTTTCTTCGGCCTTTCGCGCCCTGGCCACCGTCTGGCCGCCGGGCTTCAACTTTCCCCCCTCTTCTGGCCACTATGGTCGCTCTGAGGATGGCCTGCCTGCCCCTTCCATTCGGGGTGCCCCTGGGCTCTCGGGCCTGCGAGTCGCCCGTGGTCGCCGCCCCCGCCCACTCGGGGTCGACGGACGTTCGGTTCTCCCCCACGCCGCTTTCAGGGTCGACCTGCTCCCCTGGCTTGGCGCCGCCGCTTCCCGTCCTGGGTGTGGCCTTTCAACGTCTCGTCGCCTCGCCGCTGGTGTGGTGCCCTGGCGTTGCTCCTGCTCCCCTGCCGTGGCCGCTTCCGCCGTCACGCATCCCCTCGTGCACGCCCGTTCATCGTCCTCGTGTGCGTGGACCTCCTGCTCTCCGCTTCCCCCCCGGCGATCCGGACTTTCTCCGTGGAGCGCCTGCACGCCCGCCCTTCGTTCCCCTCGACTACGCGACGGTGGTCCTCGAGTTCGCCGGCTTCCCGCTCGTCGCCATTTTGGCGTTGCACGTGGACTTGGTGCCCTTCCTGGTCCTCTTTGCCATCTGAGTCGCAGCGTAGTTCACTTCTGCGCGCTCGGGGCTTAATTTAGAGCGTGGCTTGCTGCTTCGCTCTGACGGCGCCTGGCACACCTGCGCGCTTTTCCCCACCAGCCCATCCAGAAATGATGTCCAGGCGAGTTGAGGTGATCAGGGAAGTGCGGGAGCAAAGAAGGGGACGGCCGAACCGTGCAAAGGAGACTGGACGGATGAATGGATGAGGGAGTGGGGAGAAGGAGGATGAATAGGATGATGATGAGGAGGAGGAGGAGGAAGAGGAGGAGGATGAGGAGGAGGAGGAGGAGGAGGAGGAGGAGGAGGAAGAGACGGAGTAGCTCGGAGCCTCGGTCCTTCTGGGGTGATATCCATCCGCGTCCGATCCTGCGACTTTGGCTTGGGCTGCGCGCGCGCGAAGCGTGCGCTTAGTTCTAGTGTGCATATATGTACATGTATGTATGGTTGCACGCCTGTTTCAGGGAGCCTCGATCTTGAAATCCGTGTGGCGCCCGGTTTTCGAAAGAGTTTGGCATGCGCGCGGGGCGCCGCTCGCGTACGTAGTGTGTTTCATGTTGTGCAATCTGGTTGCTGAC